TTTATTAATTAATTATAGTAACTCTATTAGCATGTAGAATATAGCCATTTATAATTTATTGAAATGTGATTATACATTTAAACAACACTGCCCCAGTCAAATATACTGTATACAGAAATGTATACTCCAATATATTAATATGCAGTATCTCCAAAATGATTTTATTCTCCTGGAAAATTCCTTGTGATATCACAACATTAATTCTTTCAAAAGTAAAAACTCAGACCTTACTCATGATTAGTAATTAGTATGTGGTCAGAAAATATATATTTGGACTGTGGCAGCATATTTGAGCTTATATGCCTGTGTTAGTTTGTGTACATTACTAAGAATTGAAGAGTTAATTGAACAATGCAATATAAAACCTGGCAAACTGTATGCATATACAGGTTTGATTTGAATCAAGGGCTCAATCATAATCATAATGAAAATAAATCATACACTCAAAAATTACACGTTTTTTGAATCAATAAACAGTACACTCTTAATCCATAGGTCAATGTATAACAAACACATAAACATAAAAATTCTAAATGCAAAAACCTCTCACGGTACTTCATTTTAAAATCACCTCAAAATTTCAAATATAGACTCACAGTAAATGCTTATAAAGTTTGCTGCACAGTAAATGCTTAAAACTTATAAATTTTGTGCAAATTAAAAAGTTGAAAGTGGTGGTGAGGAAGCACTTGTGTTCTGGAAAATTATAACACTGATGGACATTTTGTCAAATATTGTAAAAACTTCTACTAGGTTAATGCATTCAGCCAAATGAGAGAATGATTTATAGCTAAATGAATTAAGGAGGTCAAAACAAAAACAAAATGAAAAACAAGATACTGAGTAGTATGTTAGAAAGATTTGCAGAAATTTCTGCAAATTTGTAGAATATTTTACTGATGAAAATAAACAAAGATTTACACATGATAGCTATGTCTTATATGAGAAAATCAATATGGTTGGATAAAGCTAGAATTAAATGAAAAAGAACAATTCACGTAGTCATTTTGAATGCTATAAATACTATTTAGTGGTAAGACGAATAAAAGATAGATTAATGTAAATGTGTATAAAGTCAGTGGCACTCTATTAAACATCTGTGATAATTGTATTTCTAATTCAAGTAAAAAAATAACATATTATTTTTCATAAGTAAAAATTGCATAAAATTCCCTTAGTTTTTAAAAGTCACTGGTTGCATGAGAAGCTGGCATAAACATACTGAAAGAAAAAGGCTTATTTTGGTTCACAATTCACGAGTTGCAGTCCATGGTCTACTGATTTTCATGCTTTAGGCAGGCAGTAAGTCAGAAAGAACAGAGAAGGCAAGGAAAAGCAAAGTGGCTCAGCATGGCAGCCAGAAATCAGAGAGGGTTCAAGATTCATGGAGGAAGAATTCCAGAACCAGAAATACCCCTCAAGGTCACCCCATGATCTATGAGGCTCCTGGCCTTTATTCATCACCTGCCTATAAAATGCCATCCAACTCTTCTTGCTGCCCTCATTATCTGATCGTTTTCCAAAAAGCCTATCAGCCCTCAACTAAAACTTTAGTTTTAGGGAGTATTTCATTTCCATACCATAGTGGCAATCACACATAATATCACTTGTGTCTCAATGCCTTAACCAAACATCACCTAATCAAAGTAAAACCAATGATCAGTTAAACTCAGATCATTTCCATGGCTCACTGCTACCTGACTGCACTTCAAAACATCTCCTGCTTTCTGCAATGTATGTAACAATGTGATCTTGCCATGTGGTTTGGATACCAACGATAATGTGCTCAAATTCTTAGTGCCATTAGAGCATCAATCACTTTCTTTAATTTCTCACTGAGTTTCAAAATTATATCTTAACGTTTTTCAAGGTTTTACCTAAATAAAAAATAATTCTTCAAAACACCCATTATATTCATAAAATTGAACCCACTGTGAGGATTCGATTCTCCAGCACTTGGGCTCCTCCTGCTGTGGGAGACCTTGGGCTTGCTCAGGTTTTATTGTTTTCCTTGATGTCTGCTTCTCTGAGTCACTTACCAATAGTATCCTTCCTCACTGCCACAAAGTCCTAGAAGAAATAATAGAAAAGGTCATCGCTATCATTTTGCTGCACACTGCTTCCAACATACCTCATTTTCTTTGCAAATGTTTATCTCTTAAATAGATTTAAATTTTCCAGTTTTGCTCATTTTTTTCAGCTTTTAAATTTTATTTTACATTTTACTTTCTAAACTATTTCTTCCTCCAGAGCATCCTTTATAAGTCAACTGTAGTACAAATATAGTCTTAAAACGCGAAGTATACAAACGAATATTTTCCTAAAATGTTTGCATGATTTAGTAATATTTCAATAGAACAGATATAGAACATTTTCCATGATAATATTTAGCTCCACAAAAATGATTTTCATCTTTTTGAGTTGTTCTCCTTTATGATATCACATTTTTCTTTGAATTGAGTGTCAAAGTCATAGCCATTGATATAGTTTGATCTTCTTTTACCAAATGTAATACTCGGTATGCTCATGGTCTGGCTCTTAAACTCTAGTTCAACTGATGTCAGTACAGCCATTATAACATTTTTAATTGTAGTATTTGCGATGTGCTTCTCACTCCTTTTTGGAATTTTTTCCACATTTGTTTACTTTTTAACATTTCATTTACATAAGATGTTCATCTCTTTTAAAAAGTATTTGGCTTGGAATTGCTCTTTTATCCAGTTTGATAATGTTCTTAACTGAATGCTGCATCCTTTAAATGCAGCAAAATTCTTTGTAGAGCTATTTGTCTCTTATTGATTAGTTTTGTTTTTCACATCTGTACTTTTTCTTCTTTTTCTCCATTTTAGCCTCACTCTGAATTACTACGTTATTTTCATGTTTTCCAGAATGGGCTATAATACTCCATTTTCATCCCATTTATCATTGCTTTAAAGATTACAACACACATGGTAATTTATTAGAATTTATGCTGCATTAATGTTACATCACTTTAGGGATAAAAACATTATCTCAGTCTTTGTTTTATTGTTGTAATAAAGTTGCTTTTGCATATATTGTTTTAACAACTGCACTATTAGAATTATTATTCATTATAAACCACAGATTGACAAACATATTCTGTAGTAGAGAAATCAGTAACACACTGAAGATTCTATTTGCTTGATAACTGCTCACTTCTGCCTGGCCCCAGGAGAACAGCCATGGAAAGTGAAGAAGAATATCACAGCTGTGTCCCAGAGAACAGCCAGGCTTGGCCCATGCATTGTGCTCTCTGAAAACCCTACTTTAATGCAATTAATATTTTGCACAAATAGTTAAAGAAATAAAAGATAAATGCCATATATACTGTATTTTGGTTCCTGAAAACAGAAAAAAAAAACCTTTTCTTTAAGTAGTGGTATCTGATTTTCCATCCTGAACTGTAAGCATCATCATAAACCTCATCTTCCCAGTACACCTACCCCTATATCTAACCTGACAGTTATCAGAATCCCTAACCCTACTCAAAGACTAAGTTTATGAGAAAAAAGAATCATAACTCTAATGTAAACACTAAACTTAACCTTACAACCCAAAGACTCTTTCCATACAGTGAAACAAAGCAATGAACTAAGCTTATATGAACACTAACCCCAAACCTGCTGCTAACTCTCACCACACCCTAACACTAACAGTACCCTACATGAACCCTAACCATACCTTATACTAACACTGACAACACCACTAACTCTGACTCCTAATCCTAATATTCACTCTAAACAAAAAGTACTGAACACTAATCATAGTCCTTGAATAGTAACACTACTCCTAACTCTGATTCTATAAATGAAGATTAAACTCAGCCAGTGTCTAAAGCTAAACACCAAACATTACCTTAACTCTAACTTGAACCCTAAATATGACCCCAGCTCTGACTCTGATATTACCCCTAACTGGACCTATATCCTGTAGTGTTAATTGTAAATGTGACCCTAACCTTCACTTCCAAATAGAAATTCACTCCAACCCCTAAAGCTAATCACTAAAACATGCCCTAATTCCTAACCCTATTCTGAACCTTATTTTTGAAATCTAATCCTAATCTGTAACCACTGCCCCAACAGTATATTTAATACCTTTAACACTTACTCTAGCTCAATACCTAGGCCTAACCCTAACCCTCACTCTAACTCTAAAGCTGACTCTACACCCTACCCTTCCATTATTTATTCCACCAAGCAAAATTGAAACCTGAAAAACCATTAGCTCATATAAAAACCTCCTCGTAAACTAGGATTGTTGCTTATTTCTTCTCAATAACAAGAAAATGTTCTACATACTTCTTAGATCTCTCTCCCTAAACCCAAACTCTAAATACAACTACAAGTTTAAACCCTACCCAAATCCTGAGCAACAGCATGAGCCAAGGTTGATAGCAACATGGCACTTAGTAGCAAAATTATGGATGCAGTCTATGTATCCACTAGTGACTATGTGAAGAAAATGTGCCATCTATACATAATCTTTTAAAAATAAGTAGAATAAAGATGTACCTTGTGCAGGAATTTAATATGCTAAGTGAGAGTGTGAGCACTGTGTGTCTTATGCATGAGAGAAGATTAATAACATTAACAAGATCAAGCAAAAGGTATTTAGAAGAGGAATAGGGAGGGTATTGGAAAATGGTCAGGTCTCCTGTGTACACACATTTACACACTCCCCAAAGTGCGTGTAACTGCAGGTACTAAACCATGTACTAAGAAAGAAATAATTTTCAAATACCCTGAACCTAACACTTCATCTCTCATGTTCAGCCATAACACAAAGCTAAATCTCATATTAAACCTCCACTAAATCCCAACAAAAACCTCAACACAAACCCCATCTTGTTCCCTCACCCTGAAGTTCTTCCACTTTCTCATCCTAACTCTAATGGAATTGAAGACATGACCTCACAACCTTGGTATTAGAACCCAACAAGGCTTGGAACTCTGGTAACCAAGCACCCACACTTTTGAATCTCTCTCCTGTCCCGATCACTTGGAGGGAAACATTCAACAGTGGAAGATGAGTTTTTGCTGTTTTCCTGCTTTCCGAACTTCTAGCCACAAAAAACACAGGAGTAGGAACATTGTCAGTTCTTGGTTCAGGTCTCACTGTGGATGTTTCCAGCTAATGTTCAGGAGGAGCCAACAAGTAAGAGAGGCCACCTTATGCTAGTCTCAGCCTCCTGGGGGCAGTCATTCACCACGGGGCTGGGGGTGGAGCATGAAGGGCTGACCTGGACAAGGGTAGCTGTTAGATATCTGAACATTGATCTGTCAATATCCTATTTCCTACTTCATGGTTGGAAGTATGACAGGCAATGAGGGCCTATAGTTACTAGATTATTGTGGATTAGTTTATCTGTCTGGAAGTTAGTCAACTGCCTTCAATCTCTCATTCTCTCTGTCTCAAGATTATGTGCATACAATCCTATCCAGCCTAATATGGAGAGTTTTATTTATGAAGTTGCTCTGTGGGGATGGCCATGAGGAGTGAATGATAAATTGTGGCCCAAATTCTAGGTATTCTCTTTGCAGAGCTCCATGCAGATCATCAACGCATCATGTGACAACTCTAGATCCTTGGACCCAGATTTGGAGCATGAAAAAGCCAACAGTGGTCAGTGCCTGACAACGATGCAAATGAGCACATGAGGGTCTCTACAGGTGAGAATGTATGCAACTAATATAAGAAAAGTGACTCCCCTGGGTGTTGGTTTAGGGATTGACCATAGAAATGACATGCAGTCCCATAGCCAAAGGAATTTGGCCTTCCTTAGACCCCTGGTAACTTAAATAGGTATAAAGTTTCACATCATGTATTTGTAGAATCAGAGCAAACACGTTCTGAATTATTCACCATTAAACCAAGTATGGACAACTTGGTTTGGTGCCACTGTTTACCTAATTACTCCAAGTATCTCATGTGCAGTAAATTCCAATATCTTTCTGGGCTTTCTACACTTCCAAACCCTCATCAGGAAGGTTCTACAAGAATAAGAGTTATGTACACTCACCAAAAATTAAACTTTGTTAAACTTCTCTGCACATTTCTCAATAGTCATCTCAAGAATATGTCACTTTGATTTCCAGTACCAAAAAAGAAAATAAAAACATATCCCTGTCAACATAGCAGGTAGTAGATGTGCCCTCCCTTGGCTACACAGTATTCCATTATGAAAGGCAAATTCTGGCAGAAGCTCCTCTTTCACAACTAGTGGATCAGATGTCACTTCTCAGTCATGTGCAGTGAGCAAGCTGTGAGGCTGTGTGTCCTCATACATGGTGCCCAGTGTCATAACACAATGACATAAGTGGTAGTTTTAACAAAAGAAATGTATTTGACAACAGTTTCAGAGGCCGCACATCAAGGTTCTTCCCAGAAGGATTCCCTCTGAGGCCACCTGCATCTCCCAATCTCTGTATCTTTGAGAGAAATGGGGTCACAGTATGGGTGCTTAGGGCTCCCCTTAAACTACCCTAGGGGGAAGCAGTTGTGCTGCTTCAGTGAAAAAGTTTTTCCAACATTTTGTCCCATGCACTGTCTTCATCATGGGAAGGAAATCAGGTTACTCCAGAACCTTCCAGTCTGTACCAGCAGCAGCCCACACTTCAGCTACCTTAAGGGGAGTCTACACATTATTCACTATGGGTGATTCCTAGTTCTGACACGTGTGCCACTGAGCAGCCACTTGTCATACAGAAGCTTTTTCTTTCTCATCTCTACAGTGGGGGTGTTTTGGATAGTGCTCTTCATGTCGGTTATCAATAAAGGTAGGTGCTGCTGCTCCACATATAAGACTACCTTAAAGACACCATGACTTATCATTCTCTGGTCCTAGCTCTGAATTTGGGGTGAAAATACTTGAATCCTTTTCACCATAGACACACACATCCCCTGCATTCAGAAACATTAATAGTTGAGGGTTTCTGGTCTGACCTCTGGATCCCATTAATCTGGTTGTTCTTGTTGTTGCTCCTGACTATATGTTTCTTATTGTTTTCTCCAGGGTGACAGTGAGTCCTCCCTGAAGGTATCAGTGACCTGCGAGATGTGGACTCTTCAGGCAAGACACTGGGAGAAGTTGGTTCTTGGTACCATCCATCTCAATTAGACCCATCTCTTACTTTACCAACTTCCTGTGTTCCTTTTGGGATTCTGAAATAGTTCCATACTCTGTGGACAAGCTCTTCAGTGGGTGAGTGGGCCCACTAAGGCACAGTACACACACCATCACATTCTGTGTTTTAGCAATGCAAATGCAGCTCTCTGGGCCTCTCTATGCTCCTCTGAAAAATGGGATAGGAAAGGACTAAACCTCACAGGGCTTTGTCGGGATACATATCATAAGATGTGGCAAGCCAGTACCCAAAACCTTGGGCTGCAGCAAGCGACCTGGACAAGCTGTCCCCATTCATATTTATATTTTCCATGTCTCCAGTGAAGAGCTTCTCTGCTTCAGTAGCCCATGTCCATTCATATGCATAAAAACTTATAAAAGCAGACAGGCTTTCCATGTCTGAAGAACACTCATGACTTCTTCTAGGTGGTGTTTTCTCCTGATACACAATAAACAAAGGACCACTTGGATCAGAAAGGGGAGCCTCCAACCATGGCTGTTATCAGGAAAAGTGATTTAGTGATTTCATTCACTCAACCTGCATCTATATAGCATTTACATTGTCCAGTACCTTTTTTGAACACATAGCACAATGCCAGTAACTAAGAAAACAACATTTGCTGTGCTCAAATTCTATTTGGGGCATAGAAAATCAATGTAGATGTCACAAGACACAGCTTAGGACTGGGCAGAACTTCAGCACAGAGGAGTGGTGAGAAATGATGGATATAAGGACTTTGGTTAAGGAGACAGTGACAAAATCCTCACATTGATATATGTTTTTGATTCTATGCAAGAGACATGATCTTGGCTTTTTTTTTTTACAGAAGTAAGAGTCAGGTAGTGCTGTGGGTGGATTTTTTAGAGTCCCTGCAAAGAGAGGGGAAAATGAGCTTTAAAGACAGCAACTAGAAGGCTCATCTTGAGCACACCTGCTCTCATTTCTGCTGGTTCTCCATGTCAGTCTACCCATCCCTCCCCAGAGCAACCAGGGGCCAGCCTGGAGTTGGGATGCACAGACTGCTGTCAAATCTGCTTGTAGCCCAACCCTGAGAGCTCAAATACATGGAATTTTGCACTTGCTTCTCTCTGAAAGAATGTCACTCTGAAGTGGACACTCATAGGATTAGAATTGCCTTTGTAGGCAGAGTCAGCCAATGCTAAGACATTCACAGGGGGCTCAGATTGTCCTCGAGATAGAGAGACAGGGACCAGATAAAAGACAAGGCTGTCTTGGAGAGACAGGGTGGCAGGCAAGGCTGGGCCTCTGACTCAGCTGTTCATTCTTCCCTCCCCCAACACAGTTTCTTCCATTTTTGAAAACTGGCCATAATGGCACCATCCACCATACATTTCTAAAGTCACAATTGCAGAGGCCTGCATGCAGGCAGACTCACATGGAGCACATCTAGAGTCTGCTTTGCACCTTGTCAGTGCTGAAGTGGAAAATCTAGAGCCCAACAAGGTCCAAACAGATGATGAGGTAAAAACACCACAGTCTGGAGGACTTTTGTGGGTTTCAACTGGGCATTGAAATTCCCAAAAGACTAGCCATGTCTTTTATGCACTTGACAGGTCACTGGAAAGTGACTAACCTGCTGAGCTTTCCCCTTTATAGCTCCTCCCCTGGGTTACCAACAACATGAACCTGCTCTGCAGCCAGATCCAGCAGCAGAGAAAAAGTCTCTGCTGGAGACAGGAGAGCAGCAGAAGCCAGCTGCAGAGCCCTCCTGCCTCTCTTCTGAAATCGAGTATATGTCCATGCAGAAGGTGCTCTTAGCCTTCTCTCCCAGATAATTAGTTCAACAATTGACCCAGATGGATGCAGTGAGCAGCTGAGCTCAGTGGGGGCTGGGTGGTGGCTGCCCTCCTTCTGCACCTCTCACCACAGTCTAACCTTTCCTTGACCACATTTCATGGATCTATGACAGACTGCACTGCCATACCCTAAGTACTGTGTCACCTGTACTTATCCCTTAACACCTAAGCCACCCCTGTCCTCATGTGGATGAAGGCAGTGGAGATGGGGCACTGATGATAGAAGCTTGACAAAGTGACTGAGAGGTGCAACTAACATTGGACAAGTGGAAGCAGGACAGAGATCAGGCTCACCTGGCAGAATAGAATGTTCACAAAGATGTAGGCAGTGGTATGCATCACCTAGCCATCTTCCCAGGAGACCTTTCACAGTTACCATTTGGTAGGCATCTGAAGTACACTAGATTCTATATCAGACAGCCAGACACATCATCTAGTCATAGCTTTCACGGGAAATTTGCCATTGAAGTGAACATAGGAGCAGAGGGCAAATGAGGTAGGGAAAAGAAAACATAGTCTCAGAACTAACAGGACTGAGAAATCTTTTGCTGAAAATTTGAAGATGGTCAAGGAGGAAATCCTACTGATTTTCACATCAGTTCTGCATCCCGGGTCTTCCTGAGTTGACCTCCACCTGAAGGGAGAGAACAAAACTCTGTTCCTATCTACAGCTTTCTAATATCCAACTCAGAACACAGCCACCTGCCTGTCACCAGATAAAACTACAGACTCTAGCTGAGGTGGAATATGCCCATGTGACATTTGCCCAAAGGAGCTGTTCAAGAAGGTGGTGCCTTGACTATCTGGGCTCCATCTGGACCAAGAGGAACAGAAAAGGAAAGGATCACGTGGCACCCACCATTGCCCAATTTAACCACGTGGTCCAGTGTTCCATCACCACTTGCTTTGGAGATCCCAGCAAGCAGACCACAGACGGAGCCAAAACAGTCTAGCACTCGATGAAGGTGGCCAGGGTAAGCTGTGAGAGGTCATTGGCAATTTCCTCTGGAGATCTATGCTTTTCCTGTCCTTCATCAGCTCTTAGGTTTGAAAAATATTTCTAAGAGAGGTCCTGGGAAGATGGCGGATTGATAGGTAGCAAGGTAGAGAGCGTCTCTGAGAAAAACTACTCAGAAGCTAGAATTTAACACCATGGAGAAGACCAGATTAAGGAGAGAGATTCTCATCACCCAGGAAGAAACTGAGAAAAAAGAAAGAAAGAAAAAAACACAGGAAGGAAGGAAAAATGTGGACGAAAGGTTGGAACCAGATACACACTCACTGGAGCTGTGCCTGCACTGTGCTAAGCTAACCTTGGAGTCAGATGACTCACTGTCATGCTGAAGTCAAGGTAGCACAGAAATTGTGGGTTGGTGAGCCCGAGGCACTTTGTGGGAGGATGGGGCACAACAGAGAGAAGAACCAATGTGGAGAGCTGCATTAACCCATGGTGAGTGCTAAGAATTTGGTCCCATGAAGGAGGTGACTGGCTGGATGACATGTTGGAGTTGGGCAGGACATGCCTGAACCTGGAACTGCAGTGGTGTCAGTCAGACCACTCCGGGCCCAAAGAGGACTGATAGGACCTGCTTGGGCTGGGTCATGCCCCTGGTCGGGATACTATAGTCAGGAACGAAACTATCCTGAACCTGTGACATCTGCACAGACTAATGTGCTGAAGGTACTCATTGGTTGACTGTCTCAGAGGAGAGAGGCCATCCAACCTTGCCCCTATGTGCATCTCACAGATCAATAGTAAACAATAGGGTGGCAATCCCCTAGCCACCACACTTGAGAAAAACCATAAGCAATACAGAAAGGGCCTGAGACCTCCACTGTACATCTGTCTGAAAGAAACCAGAAACATGACAAGAGACAGAAACAAGAAAAATCCACCAGCCACTGGCCCAGAGAAACTAAGTCCAGGAGGGGTAAACACAGAAGAGATCAAGGACAGCAAATATGTAGTATCTGACACAGCATCAGTGCACATAAAGAAATATCTAATTGACCTCATAGACAAGCTTAAAACAAATGTAAATTCAAGTGAAGCAAGATATAAAAAGATTAATAAATGCTAAGTACCTTTAAAGAAGACACAGAAGAATGAAGGAACCCAGAAAATGGAGAGAAACTTTTGGTGAAGAATATAAGCAAAATCTAGAATAAATGAAACAGATCTAAAGAGATTACCAGGAAATTAGAAACTCCATTGAAAGGTGGCAAAATCCCTTGACAGAAACTAAAGTTAGTCTTTCAAAATTTGAAAATAAATTTACAATGTGTAATTGTGAAAGGAAAGACCTCGTAAAAATGTAAAGGAAGCAGGAAGCAACAATACAAAGGCTAGAAGACAACAAGAAGACCTATAAATTAAGAATTAAAAAATATGTGCAAAGAAGCAGAAGTAAACACAAATGAAATATGAAGGCTCTTCACAGAAATAATTAAGAAAAACTTCCCAACCATAGGAAAAGGAAAAGGAAAAGGAAATGATATTCAGGTATATGAGGCATACAGTACAGGCATACATCCAGCCAGCTACAACCAAAAGATATCTGCATTCAGACATAAAATAATCAGGATCTCAGAAATTTATCACAAGAGCAAAATATGAAAAACAGTCAGAGAAAAGAAATAGATCACCTATAAAGGAAAACCCATCAAAATGATTAGAGACTTCACACAAACTATCAAAACAAGAAGAGCTTGGAACAAAGTATTCCAAGCCCTGAAAGAAAATAACCTCCAACCCAGACTGATGTACCCTGAAGAACTGTCTCTCAAAATTAATGGAGAAAGAAATGTTTCCATGATAAAGAGGAACTGTGGGAGTTCATGACCAGCAACCCAACCATACAAAAATACTGGAAGACATTCTAGAGAGAGAAAAAAAATCACCAGGATGCCAGAAACAGTGGCAGAGAGGCCTCAATGAACAGGGCAGACAGTGGAATGAAGGAGAAAAGGAGACAACCAACAGCAGAACAATATCATAGCATAGATGAGGCAGAGAAGACTGCCTATAATCTCTAACACAGATGGCCTTGATACACTAACAAAAAGAAACACATGCAAAGTAGCCCAGGAGATAGGGTGCATCAAAATGCTCTGAATAGAAAATATAATCTTCCTGAAAGAGGGTTAATGACTGAAAGCCAAAGATGAGAAAACAATG